TATTCAATCACCAATGCAATTTGTGATGTATGATGCATTCAGTATGACACGCTAGTTTTTATACAAAAGAGAGACTTTCGAATAATTAATCTTCATTTTAAAGATGTGCATTTATTTTCAAATCTCATCCTACAAACTTACGAAATCAGTTTAAATATTTAAATTTCTTTGACTTAAATTTCATCATAATTTATTTAATTGTATATTTCAATATGGAGAAAATCTCTAATATTTACTACAGAATTTCAAAAATATCTCTATGAGTCTCCTGACCTCATCTATAACTTTTGTTTGGAGAGAAATTTGGAGAAAATTAGATCAAAATTAGACCACACGCTGTTCGCTTGATATTTCTCTCCATGCATCAGTTTTGCGTGATTTTTTTTAAAGCGGGTTAATTCACTTTTAATTTCAATTCTTCTTAATGTCATAATAAAAACGCAATCACAGATGCATTACCACTTTTGCGAAAGCCCAAATTTGCTGGAAAATCTCAATTTTTAGGAGAAAACTAATTATTTTCGACTTACGTAACTTTCAAAATTTGCATGGAGAATTGGCTTTTGTATAATTACGAGATTACTTTCGCCGAATCAATATAAGTGCCGAAAGAGCAGTCAGTTGTGACACCTATCGTTGACGATTAATCACAACTACATTGACAAAGAGTGACATTATCTCGCTAGACAAAGGCACTACTAGAAAACTAACAAGTCTTACTTACATGGACACACAAAAACACGCTCTCCTCAGGCAAATTAAGACGACAAAGACCCGCCGTGTCATTTCGGCGGCCTCTTACAAAACCGCATTATTTCTCACGTCAGTGTTGACCAGCTTGACGAGTGGTTTTTTTTTAAGAGATGTGTCTTGGAATTTAATTGCACCGAAATGCATTTTTCAAGAATCCTCCAGGAAATATCATCGGAGAGGAAAAGGACGGTTTTCAGGGATCTCTGATGGCGCAGATTTGTTTGTTTGGCTTTTGTCAAACGCGGTCCTTATACGGTCGTTGGGCCATACCGAGCTTTCTAAATAATTTGCTGCACAATGTGCGTAAATAATGGAGATATGTGAATGATGTGCGCGTTTTGTTTATCCCGTCAATACCAACCAAAATGATGCGTGTGCGCTTTTCATTCACACATACCGGCTGGCCATCCTAGAGAATATATCTGATTACAAAATGTTTTGACCTTTTTCTGCGTGTTCTCTCGCTATCTACGTATTGATGCAACATGCAAATAGAAAAACAATCAATCGAAAAAAAATCCGAAGACGATAATTATTCCTTTTATTCATGAGTATTTTCCATTGAAGTAAGAATTTTTAAATTATAATACATTGTGTATTATATTTTATCAATCACCTCATTTTTTTTCAACAATGCCAATAAGAAACTGTGCCATGATTTCGCAAATATAAAACTGACAGAAAGTTTTTTAGTTGATCAATTATATTCATTTTGCGTATGTAATTATACTAATTTTTCAAATTGTATCTCTAATAATAATTCAAATGATTTATATGGTATAACCGTTAAAAGTTAAAAGTATAAAATTAAATTCATGATTTCCACCAAGGATCAAACTTTCAATATTGACTCGGTTCAGTCAACGCATTCGAATAAAGTTTTCTTATGTGCTAGAACAATAAAATTTAATAAAGATATACCCGTTAAAAGTAAAAAAAATTAGATTCTTGATTTTCACTATTATCTAATATAATTTACTTTTTTTAATATAATTATTCAAAACTGTTTACAATTGCACTATTTTTGGTAAACTTGCCACTAATTTTAACCAATTTTTACATATCTAAACTGATCTAAATAAAAAAAATTTTATTGATTTCTAATTAATCGTTTTTCAGTTTCAATTTTTTTAATAAATTCCTCAAAAAAAGTTCTGCTCAGATTTTCTTAATTACATAAATATTATGCGTGCTTAACATTATTACTGTATAATTAGACATTCTCGCAAGTGCTGTTATACAATCGAGGCTGGCAGCCGCCGAGTCACACACGCGTGTGTTGCGTAGCCGCGAGAAAAGATAAATAGACGAGTAATAATAACAGAAGAAGAATTTCCTGGTTCATCCGTTGCTCAGAGAACATTGTTTTATTGTTCTCGTATAAGCCGTGTGTATTATAGACACACTTCTTCTTTTAATTCACTATCAGTTCACGCAATACTTTGTGAAAATATATTTCTGTTTTATCAATGAGAGAGCAGGAAAGTGAAAGAAGCTGCAGTTTTGGCGCCAACAGAAGATATTTTTCTAAAGCGCGAGAACAAATGCCGAAACAATCCCACGTGCAATAGGAGATGCTCTAGCGATGTATCTAATAATAATAGAGAGGAGATGCACAAATATAATAATATGCCGCGGCCTTGTCTCATTACCATACACCTTCGCCATTTTATTCGAGTACTTTTTATACAACAATAATAAAAGTACTCAAATGTACTTCTTCCATATAATGCTCTCACGCTTCAAAATAAAACGAACTTTCTTGTTTCAATTAGAAGAGTGTTTAATTGCGAGAATAGTACATTTCTTTCACTCGGCTAATGATGTGACGCGCGGGTCCGAGAGCAATTCAGCCAAGAGTTTTGATTTTAATGGATGAGGAAGAACGGCGAGGGAAACTTTGTAAGGAAGATGAGGCCAAAAGACTGTTTGTTTGTTTCAGAGGCTATTATTTATATAAAGAGCACAGCTGAAAGTGTAATTGATTAATGACGCTGGAGTGTTTTAGGTTGATGGCGGGAAATAAAATTATGTTAGTTTAGATTTTAGAATGCGCTGCTTTATTGAAACGAAACTTGAGCTAACTAACAATAAGAGAAAATAATTGTAAGGAATATGTGAGAGTGCAAAGGAAAGGCTTTTTGAAATGGATGTATCAAAGTGATTTCTTATCTACAGTCCATAAACAAGTACCAAAGAGGGAAAATTAAATTAGATTTAGTAATGAAAAAATAAATAATAAATTTGTTTTATAAAAATTAGAGGGGAAAATGATCAAACTTTTATTCTTGTGGTTGATAGTTTATTCACCCAAGATCCCCTATCATTCAGGTTCTGTAAGTATAAAAGTATAGGTATAAAGATAATAAAATTATGTTGTCACGCTTTTGAGCATATAATAATTAATTAAACTTCTTCATTGTAATTTAACTTAATTTTGATTATTTTTTAAATATAATAAAAGTAATTTATTTTGTTATTTCCTCTGCGTTTTCATAAAATCCATGTAGGAAACCCCCCTAACAATAAATAATTTAGAATGTCTTTTGACCAAGGTCCGCGCATCAGCAACAATGAAAAATGATTTGATTGTTGTTTGAGCTCTCTGATTGGGTACAAGTAAAATTGTACCCAATCAGAGAGCTCGACAACAATCGAAATTTTCTGACGAGCGGACCTTGCTTTTGACTTAAATTTGTTTTAATAAAACTACCTGAAAATGTCTAACAGCTTTGTCGTCTTCTTTTTTTTTATCTTTATCCAACAGAGTAATGAAAAGAGTACAAACTAAAATATTAAAGCATTTATCAATTTTTTAAATTTTTTTATCATTTTCTTAATCCTCAAATCGATTTCCTAGTTCTTCCTGGTTCTCTCTAGAAATAAGTAAACGAAAAGTATTATGTGCGTCAATGCTGGACGAATAATTTAATTCATTAACAGAGAAAGTCGTAAATCTGTTAGGAAATGTTGCAGGGCCAATTAAAATCCCATAACACCACAAACCGTCGTAAATCACGCAAAAAAATAACACCACAATCCGTCAAATTATAATATTTTGTGAATCCTGTAATTATCAACTTCCAGCTCTGTTTGTGATGATTTAAAAATTAATAAATAATCATCAACAAACAACATCCTCAGTGAGCAGAGATCCCAGCAACAAAACACTTAATTACATGAGAGAGAGACTCGCAATAAGAAAGTGATAGTTCCCTTCGGAAGTGTTTTCCGAGTACGGCACCGCATCTTCTTTTTTTCTTCAAGTAATTTCCCTTTCATACCTACCGCTTGAATAAATACATTATGTGATGTGTGTGTTTGCGAAGAGATGTGAAGGTAATTGCCGCCGCGGGCGGAAAGATGCGCGCAGAAATTGGTGTCAAGTAAATCTCTTCTCAAGTAAATCCATATGCGCATGTAAAGCTGCATGAAATCCAATGCTGCTGCTGCTCTTCAGGTCCGTCCACCTTTGCAGCAGAGAAAGTGATCGCGTCGTCTCGTTTTTCAATTTGTCTCCTTTAGTAAATAACAATATAAATCTGAATTAAAAAGCGCAATTGCAACACGATAAATTTATTTCACATGTATACGTGGTTTGAATTTTGAACATTCTACAGCTGCCTATATTGAAACCCAAAACTTAATTTTAACTTTCCACCAAAATGAAAACTACACTGCTGAGAGATTTATTTTGTAACGTTTTTGGAGTGTAACTCAAGTAGGAGTGATTTTTCGCCAGATAAAAGTAGAGAGTGCTTGACAAAGCAGGAAGATGCAAATTTGAGTTGTCAGTTGTCATTTAAATGATTACACCAGTGAAAAGTGAAATTAAGTTATTTACAATTCCCGCTTCGGCTATGAATTCTTACAGATAAATGGAAATACAGTATAGAAAATAGAAATGCAAGGTCATTACTCTTAAAATTACCCTTTTTTATCAATTTATATTTATACGTAATGTTATAGAATCTCGTGCATGTCATTTTTTTAATCCAAATTTCCTTCTTAATAATTGTTTTTTAATTTTTATATATTTTTAAGCTTTATTTATATGTTTTTCATATTATTAAATACTTAATATTTGTTGCTGAATAATAATTAGTGCCTCAAAAAAATCCCTCATATAAAAAAATTAACAAATAATGTTTTAAATTCAATATTTTTGTTTTTAATTTTTTAAATATATACAATCTCAGAGGGTATAAAAGAGAAATAATATTAAAAACATACACAACTTTTTTATTCATAATCAATACGTTTTATTCTTGCAATTTCAGAAATTTTTCTTTAGTACATAGAGTAGACTTGGACCGACTTGGACTGACATCTTTAGAGTTAGAGATTTAATTATATCTTAAGAAAAATCATGTTAACAATAATAAAATCTAGATTTAAAATTATATTCAACTTTTCCGGTCATTTACATGTCATTTTAGTTAAAGTAATTATAAAAGAGGATACCCAAAATCAACAGATTCCCATAGCTTTAAAAAACATCTAAAACATCAATGTGGTATTTAAGCAACACAATATTATTTAAATGACACACAGGAATATAGAACTGTTTTGGTATTAAAATAGAGATCATGATTAGAAAGAATTGCCCCTTTTCACAGCAGTCTGAACCAAATATTACTTAATCAGCTCATCAGATGTCCTCAGTCGTCCACACGCACCAGCTCTGGGTCTCCCTCATAATCACTGAACCCGTCTTCCCAAGAATTGGTAAAAGACAGGAGCTTTTCCACTGGGCACTTGCCCTTGGAGGCTGAAGCTTTTCCTTGCTTGCTAGCCCTAAAAAACATTCAGTAACATATGATTTTAAATAAAGAATATAATTTTTCTTACTTTGTCTGTTCAGAATCATGATGCTCATTATAGCACAGTCTTTTGATGACATCTCGAGCTTGTTGATCTGTCAGTACGAGTTTGCCGTTGTTGCGAGCCCAGTCGTTGGCTTCAGCTATTGTGAAAAGCTAATAGATTTTCAATCATTAAAATTTTATATTGCCTTACCAATAATAGCATCAACGTCAATTTTGCTCAATTTCTTGCAAATTTCTTTTTCCTTTCTCCTTCCTGACAGGGTCGCCTCACGGAGTATTTTACGTCCAAATCTGGCCCTGCTTAGTCCTCTCAGCATGCATGAGGTATTCTGGATGCCTGCCGCAAGCAGTGCCTCCTTCCTGTCACTTAGTTGGAGACGGCCATTAGGCAGGAGAGTCTTGAACGATATAAAATTAATATTCCGAATCCAAAATTTTAAGATAAAATTACTAATTCCCCTGACGGTACCTGTTTCTCATTCAGTGGTTTTGGGCCAGTAGCTGTGGCAGGGCCAGAGGCAGTGAGTGATGACAGAGACCGCGTTTCTCTGGCATGTAGCTGCAGTGGAGTTTCATCTTCATCAGAGTCGGTTGAAGAACTAGATCCTTGGCCGTCAGCCAGAGAGGAGGGACCAGCAAATTCATCAAGGTCATCTGTTAATTTATTAAATTAAATTTACATATTCAATAAAAAAAATATATATTTATAAGTTTTCGAATGCCCGGCACGTACCTCCAGGTTTCTTGGAAGCTGAGGCACGATCGCGCTGCTCGACGTCCTCATTTTGTGGCTCCTGACCCACTAACCAAGCTTCTCCGCCATGGTTGGCCGTTGTAGCCTGACGAGAAGTGGTTGGCTGTTCCTTGGAAATAAAAAGAAAAGTGCAAAATGAAGTAGTGACAAAAATAACCGACCATATTTGAATCGATTGAGCTATACTCACCCATGGGTCAGTAGCAGGCTCTTGAGGACGACGAGCCAGTGGTCCAGGTCGCTCTGGAGTCAGTTTTTTTACCAGGTGGGGCACTGTGAATTTCAGGGTCTCTTGGAATTGCAGGCGCCTAGAATTTTGAGTTTAATATATATTTTAATCTTTTTGTTATGGATAAATGAATATTTACAAAAATTCTGGGTCCTTTGAGCTGCACGCCGCCTCCAAGTCAATTGACGAGTCGTCTGACGAGCTGTCCCTCGTTAGGTGATTAGTTTCTGAGTGGCCAGCCTCGGAGTCTCTCTGCTCAAACATCATGGAGGGGCCAGCTGCAGCACTTTCTCCATGTCCATGCGCCATGACCTCCGTGGGCACAGGCGGTTCAGGTTCAACTGCTGAAATGAAAATTTCCAAAAACATATAAATAAAAAAAACGATAGGGTTGATTCAAATCACCACTAATTTTATATTGGGCATAGGCGGATTATGAAAAATTAATTTATTTGCAACAAAATAATGTTCTCAAATCATTATTTCCGCCCTTATTCTGCTACTAAATTATCCGTATGACCATAGATGTGAGAATTTTTTGAAAAAAGATTCTTAATTTGGAATTTGATGCTATTTTATTGCGTAGAACAAATTTTTTTCAGCATTTTTATTGAAAAATTGAGTGCATAACACAAATGTTTGAGGGTGATTCTGAAAGATGATTCAATAAAATTCCAATAATTTTAGAAACGTTTCATGTCAACGCGACATGTAGCGAGGAATCGCAAACAAGTTGTTTAAGGCGTTGCAGAACAAAGTGTGTTCAAAGTTTGAAATTGATTTTTGAATTCATGGCTACGCGTGCAAAAATTGGTAATTAAATTCACCAAAGAAAAATTCATTTATGTTCAATCTTACATTTTGAAAGTTATATAATATGAAAATGCTTACAATTAGATGGAATTTTATTGAATAATATTAGAAAAATTATAGTTATAAAAATATGATTCAATTATTTTGGAAAATGGAAAGTTTTTTCAAAATTTAATTTGCTATGACTTAAAAAAGAATTTCCATATCTTCTTGAAGAATAATATGAAAATTTTCCCACTTTTTTCCTTTGAAATTTTGCTTTTGATTCCTGATGTATTGCGCGGCAGTTCCTTTTTGTGTCCTTTCTGTATTAAAATTATAATTTTTATTTTGCATTTTCTTACAAAAAATTCGAAAAATTTATTATAACTGAAATGACCTGGTAAAAAATGCGTTGAAAATAAAGCTGGCGTTAACTTTTCCACAGAAAAGTTTTAATTATGTGCAACTGATTTTTTAATTCTCAATCTTCCTCTCGCCTTCTGACTCTTGTTCTCAACAATTCAGGAGCCGAAAGGAATTCTATGCTCTACACCTGCAGAGCGAGGCCGTTTGTGCAGGACACTGTATGGGCTCGCGACGCGAGGATCTTTTCTGTGAGTAACGCAACGAAAACAGAATTGTATCGGCGATCAAATTGGTTCAAAAATGAGCACCTAGGAACGAGCGAAGAATTTGAGGCTGGTGCAAAATGTTGGCAATTTCTACGCCGCTTAAATGCGATGCCGGCCGACGCCAACGAACTCCGCGCGCTTTAAAAAATTGTTATTTTTCACTAGTAGGATGTGATGATTATGTAAATTTAATTAAAATGACCAAAAGCGCTTTCCAGCTAAAGATCGAGTGGAGTGCTCTTCTAAATTTTTTAACAATATGCCCAAAACAAAATAAGAAAGAGTTTGAGCGTTCGGAATTGAATAAATAACTGCGTTTTATTATTTTTCAAATGTATCCAAATACTTTATGCCTTTTAAATCAAAGAAAAGATATAAAAAATATAGAAGATTAAATTTAAATATTCGAAAAAAAACTCACTCAAATTATTAGCCGGCACTTTGACTATCATGGCGTCGTACATGTCCTTTTTGAACGTTCCAGATGGTTCAGCGTAGTAGTCTCCTGTCCAAACCTGGACCTGACACCCAGTCTTCAGGGTTTTCACCCTCTCGAGAGGATTTTCTTTCTGGTAGATTCTGTCTCGATGGACGAATTTGACTTGCCTCTTTGTCAAGTCCAGGATCTCGCAGAGATTGTTGTCACCGGCCTCCATCGTGCTGACGTTTGGTCTCTGATCCTTTTTCGTATCGTTTGTGTGTCTGTCCGTCTGCGGTCGTGCGGTCCGCCCCTATTTTTACAGAGGAATATTAAGAAAGAGGAGTTAAGAAAAGTAGAGGGGATCCAGACCGATCTAAATATTTTTGAATATTTAGTAAATGTATAGAGGATGAAAACACCTTAGGGCAGCATAATCATCCACAAAAACTAATACTTTGGACCATAGGGGATCATTTATATTTAACAAGAACATTGGAGGTCACCCCATGAATTTTTGAGAAATACGCATTTGAAATTAACATGACTCGCTTTATGTAAAATTTTCACTAAAATCGTTTGATTGCATTTTAAGTCAACTATATTGCCTTTGGCAAGGGTTTGTGACCCACCAGGACGCTCCTTGACAACCCTGCTACAAATGTGGCACCAGTAAATTGGGGGTCACCGCGTAAATTTTTGAAAAAAGTAAAATTGAAGGTTGAAAAACTTCGTATTTTTGCATTTTTCATGTTTCCGAGACAATTTAAGCAAATTTTTGAACTCTTTGATTTAATTAATTTCTACAGTCAAATATCATGTTAGTTAATGTTTTGGTTTCTACAATACCCTATAATAATGAAAAAAATTAATATTTTTTAAAATCCAATATGGCCGTCTGATTGTGAGATACACAAGGGTTACTAAAACTGATGCCAAATTAATTAGGGTGCAGGGTTTTTAATTTTCTCGGTGGGAGGTTGGAGCTAATGAACCAGCGTATCTTTTCTTAATGGTTATCAAGTTTCTAGGTCAAAGGTCATCGACCCTGGCAAAATGTCAAAATCTTTAGTTTTTTCCCCTTTGAGATAGGCAATCTGATAAAAAAAAATCCGAGATAGCCAAAAGATGCGGCATGACATTTTGCGTCAGTGTGTAAATTTTCAGAATTTTTGAACAAGTAGTTTTGAATATATTAATAATTTTTAATAGCGTTCGAACGACTGAAAACTGAAAATGGTCTCTTCGGTTGAGCTATAAATTAGAAAAATGCTTAAGCAACACCCAATTTTTTATTTTTTTAACTTTATTTAAAAAAAATCATCATTTTTTGCTGCCATATCCTTAATTTTGGTTCACGCGATGATGACAAAACAAAGGCTGTAAACTAAAAAAGAGAAAAGATTAAGAAAGGATTTGGATTAGGTTGGGGTTGGGGAAGGTCAGATTTTGATATTTTATGGGTGGTTGGATTTAATGCATAATTTTTATGCTAAATTTTTTTATTGGTTATTTTTATTTGTGCTGCAAATTAAAAATAAAAATGGTTTTTGATTTTTATCCTCTTTTTTTGTTAAAAGGAGCTTTTTTACTAGAGTAGCAATATTATGAGAGCAAACTTTTGAACCAGGACACGTCGCAGTGTCACAAACGTGCACCTATAATAAAATTGACGTTGGTGGGCGCCGATTATGAAAATACATGCACATGCAAAATGATCATCCGGCTCATACGGTTCAGTGACTGGGAGATCAGGATCACTTTCTCCGCGGGTCTCTTTTCTTTCGCGGCCGTTTTATCGCGAGTAAAATGCTCATCAACTCTCTTTTATTTGACCCTCGGCAGGTCGCAAGGTCAGCCAAGGTTTCAATCTCTCTCTCGGCGGTGGATATGGCTTCTCTATTTGCACGTCGGCGCGCATTCTTTCTAACAAAATTGGTTCGCCCAAAAAAAAAATAATTACATTGTGCCAAGTGATGCGCGCGCGTTTCTCTTCTTTTGTTATCGTAAATCAGTTAAATGCCGATAACTGCTAATTATTTGAGCGAGGGGTGGGCGAATCTCGCACGGCGTTAATTACAAAGACGCCCACACTCGGACCAAATCTTTTGGTCTATAATAAATGGTTTGGGAGAAAGAAGGAAAGAAAGTTGTAAATTATAAATAATACGTAAATGAAAATTGAGCAAGTTTTGTGATTGAAAATGACTTTTTTTTAACAGGCTTAGATGATTAGTAATGACGCATATTCTTTCATTAAAAAAATTCATGCTGCGTCCGTATTTTTGTACAAAATTATAATATTTTCATCACAAATGGTGCAAGAAAAGATTTAAGAGAAATTCTTATAAGTCATTTATTTATTTTTTAATAACCGTCAAATTCCAAGCACATTTTGCATTATTTTGTGTAATTAGACATATTTTCTAATTTTGAAGTAAGCAAACAATTTAGGATTACATTTTGTCACCTATTAATTTCAGAGGTCCTGAAAAATTTTAATCTCTTTTCCAAAGTTGATTAACTTTAATGCCAAAATTCTTCAGATGAATGACTGATTATCGATAAGATTATATTATAATTATAACAAGTGAAAATGACAGTGTTTTAAGGAGGTTTTATTTATTTGGAATTGTATCTTTGCTAACTTCTAGGCCACAGAATAATAGGCTGAAAAAGTCACCATAATATGGTAATTAGGAGTTAAATTCCATTGCTTCAGCACAAAGCTTCGGTTCTTACTTATAGTAATTCGCTGACTGTTTTTCATATAAATCTTACAGGAATGATTGATGGCATAATGTGTCATTGAAACCATCAAAATATTATAATTTTATCGTTTTTTTTGTGGATTACAATTAAGGTTGATGAAGTAATCAATATCATTGTTTTCAACCAGTCTAGAAATTCATGATTGCAACCTCCATGCCTTTATTTGTGAACAAAATTAAGTGAACTATTTTAATTTATGTTTACACATTTAAAATAAAATTAAATATTTCCTTGGCCAAAAATTAAACTTTTTTTCTGCAGTGATAGTAATTGTAAGTGATGATATTCAGCAGAAAAGTGAGCGTTCACTCTGCATTACAATAGTTGGATTGGTCAACTCATTGTCAGTCTTGATTCAAATTCAGAGAAAATTGGTGTGAATTAAATTGACAGAGTTACTAGAGTTAGTCACCGTAATTGACCCTGTTGAGTGCAACGTAGCTGTTCTTGGAGTCCAGGTCGTGCCACCCGATTGGCCCGATTTCGCAATCGGCACAGGTCAGGAATTTGACGTTGCCGACGGTGTTCGAAAAACCAACGTTTTCAAACTGGAACATGTCGGGCACCATCCAGAAGTGCTTGATTTGCTCGACACCACTTTCCTGTTCGTCCTTTTTCTTCATGCTCGGCAAGTCAAACTACGGCAAATAAAAATATTGAGTTAAATTGTGAAAAAGTTACATTTTCTTATTTCTGAATTTACTTCCAACAAGAGAAAATTAATTATGATAAAAGAAATAGTAATAAAATATTTAATTTTTTATCAATAATAATTAATAATATTAAATAACACGGTAATCAGGAGAGAGCCTTTTGTGAGTCATTTTACTTAATATATGATACTGTAAATAAAGAAAAAGCTACAAAATTTATAGACTTAAAATGAAAAAATAAATAAAACACTCAAATTGAATATGTACATAAATTTACGCACAGTTATCTCCTTGACAGCGCCAATGTTCTCCTTCATAATGAGTGACGGGCATCGTTGGCACTTGACCTGGTGCTTATTTTTCCCATCTTCCGAAACTTCCGTCTCCAAAGCAGCTTCAATGAAGTAACTCACTTCCAAACGCTCTTTGCTGTTGCTCTGCTCTGTCATTTTTCGACTAAAATATTATAAAAAATTAATCTATAAGTATGTTGAGATTTGTTAAAAGACTTACGTAAATTATTTTAGTGGAAATTAAGGTAGAAGAGATCAAATTCTAATCTTTCTCAATAATTTCACCGGCTTTTCCTTGATTTTACTTTGCACACTGACGTTCAAAAGAGACAGCTGGCAAAATCACAACAAAGCAACACTTTTGCGTCGATACGGGATCAGTGCTCACATCTGGCGGGCAAAGAGCAAAGCTATATATGTATATTATTGTAGTCAAGATTATAGTGCAAATATATAAATAATTTTAATAATAGTTAAAAGTTGAAATTATTTAATATTTATAGGTCTTAGTAAGTCTTCATCATTGCCTTGAAAAAATTTGATAGTACATTTTGATGGTAAACATGTTATTAAAATAATATATATGATATATTACATTTTTAAATTTGTATGGTTTAATTTACTTATTTAATAACTTTTGGCGTCATAGTGTTACATACAGTAAAGATAAAAAAGAACAACTTTTCATGGAATAATTCTCCGAACACCTAGATGATTAATTATTATATTATAAATCATCAATTAAATAATGCTATACTTCGACGTCTACAATACATTATGGGCAATGTCTAAGTGAGCAGCATTTTTTTAATATAATAAAATAATAATCCTAATACATATTCTATAGTTGACATGGCATTTATCAAAAACGAGCATTTTAATAAGAAATTTTGAAAATAACAATCATTTTAATCTGGAAGTATGAGCAATAAAAAAATCAAGCAGTTGATTAGTTATTTAATCTTTTTTCAAAAAATGAATACAAACTTTTACAAAATTTGGCAGTTGATTTTCATAAAATAAATATAAACTATAATTTTGCCAATGAACCGATTTATACATAAATTTTGAAAATTTTTTGTTTGCTTGTTCCAAAAATAACTATTTTTTTTTTTTATCAATTTACTTCCAAACGCTCTTACAAAATAATAAAAAAGACTAAAGGATTTAAAAGCGCATTACGCAGATGTGTCTGTTTTTTTTTAAGGGGGATTTTGAAGCAGATTCGCCAATCAGTTCCGGTGCAGGGCACGATCTATCTGTTTCCGATAATATAATTGCACGCGTGCAGTGCCCTGCTCAGGTGGCAGAAGCTTTTCGGCTGTTCAAGTGTGCGTTGTAAAAAGAAAAAAACTAATTGGTTTCGTCTGAGGAGGGTTTCAGGGTTGAGCGGGCGCAGCAGTGGCGCAAGGTGCAGGCGCATCGCCATGTGGTGCGCCAGGCCGTGTGTTTCTGCTCGGCAGCCGCACTCACTGGCCGGCCTCCGAGCGAAGCACCCGCACCGCCACACCAGCTCCCCAGCCGCGTGCTTACACCGCAGCAGCAACAAACACTCGACTTTTCGCCCTGAACCTCGAGGGCACCCTTTCGGCCCAACGACCTGGCAAATCTCCAAAACTGAGTTCCTTCAGCACTTCTCGGCCCTTATTTGTTGGCTTTGGGATTGGTGAGTACAAAAAAAAATTGTTTTTTTTAATTGTTAAAAAAAAAATCTTTGGGGCCGATTGCATGGGGCCTTGAGGGAACTATGCCGGCATTCGCCTGAAGGATGTAAATTTTGTTTGTTACTCGATAATGAAAACAAAACATATAAAATACATTTTGATTTTTATCAAAATTTGCACTTCAAGTGCAGAAACTTGGTCGAGGAAATAATATTGAATTATTATTACGTAAAATTAAATAACCTCTTCAGTATATTACAGTTATTTTTGCTGGTACTAAATGAGGGATCCCATAAATTCCATTAACTTATTGATAGCTGAGTATTTTTATTTTCAAGCACTAAATATTCCTGAAATGTTTTAATTAGGATGAAACGATAATTAATAGCATGTTATAAACTTTAATATATTTGAAAGTGTTTGAAAGAAAATGAATCCAGTAATTCCGTAATATTTGAAAGGGACAGATGTTACAACATTTTCCCCACAAAATATTAAAACCTCAGAAGTTGTGAGGAGGAGCGTAAAAGATAAGTAAAAGATTTAAAAAGAAAAAAAATATTAAAAAATGGAATTGCAAGTTTTGAGACTGGCATAAAGCATCAATAATATGTGCAACTCAAATGCCAATGTTACATTATGAATAAAACGAATGAAACCTAATTTTTCAAAATATTGAAAAGAATTTCGGCATAGTTCAATAATTAAAATGAAATTTAACAAAATTACTAAATTAGCCTTAACTCATATCTGATAATTTATGAAATTTCTATACCTTACCGCCTTGGTCCACTATGCAGTTTCAACCGAACCTAAAATTAGTGTTATGCAATATTTATTAGGGTACCAGAATTTCAATTATTGAATTTTTAACAAAGTTTTAATTTAAACTGAAAACCTCCTAAAAGGAATGAAAAGAAAGCCAACAATCCAAATTTTCAAATTAAGATTTTTCGGCCGTTTAAATATCAAAGGCCCAGAATTGCAGGCTAAGAAAAATTGTAATTTAACCAATGGGGACCTTTATTTAAAAGCCCTCCACATAATAATATACATATAAAAAAAACAAGAAAAGAAAAATAAAAATGCCTAGCGTGACATTATGACCGTTTATCAAATTGGTACTTCATTAATTTTAGCATTAATATCGAGAAAATCATTATTATTTTACTTTTTTTGATTCAGCTCGGCAAAAATTTAATTCACTTGCAATTTCATATCTACTTTCAATGGTTTTTCGTGGTTTGAATCAAAATTTTGCAACCTTTTGTTCGCTTTAAATCCACAAATGAAGGTTCAATTAATTGGGCAAAAAGGTGTGATAATGCGGGGCAAAATGAAAAGAGACCAGATGGGGGTCGTTGCTACCTCCCTTATTATTAGACAAACAGACCACCCCAGATGTCGAGGCGGAGGAAGGGGGTGAAAGCTGCTATATTTACCCTGGATCCCCTCGCGAGGCCGCAGCTGTGTGTCTGCGCTGCCCCTACCCAGAGGCGGCTCTCTCGATCCGGCACACCTGTCCATTGATAAGGAGATGGCACACAAGGTGCTTTATTCATCCTGCTAATCCTGCCTCCTTTGTCTTTGTCGGCCGTGCACGCGTCTCACCCGCCGCCAAGTCCCGTGAATATTTTGCGTGTGCTAGAAAAAAATACACATAAGCGTTGGGCTAAAACTGAAAATATTATAAGCCTTTCCTGATCGGTTTCCCACTCGAAGCCTTTCATTTCTTCATAATAAATCAATCATTTTCAAACATGCGTTTTTATCAGTGCAAATATATTGAAAGGAAAAAATTCTGCGGTCACCAAGAATAAATTTTATTAATAACTTCTTGAAAATTTTCTAATAACATATTTTTTTTTATATTTATAAATAGAGTAATTAAATTAAAATGAAGCTGCATGGGCTCCTCGTTGGGAGCGAAACTAAACTAATTTAAAATATTTAGAGTTTCATCTGTTGAGGTACACTTCGTAATAATTTATAGAAATGCCATATAAAATTACCAAGATTAAAAAATCGTCTGTAACTTATCCTTTAATAAGTTAGGTAAATTAGTTTTTATTATTTTTTGGGTAAAATTTTACCAAATTTACATCACTATGCACTTAATGGTGGTTATTTATTCATATATATCTTTTTAATGTATGAAGTGTTACAATTATGTATTTAAAATTGTAGTAAGACGATCGGCATACAAAATAAAGTTGGAATAAAAAAAAATGACGTGTGTTATAATCAGTAGCTTTTATCAAAAACAAAATTAATAAACATTTAAACTAAATAAGGAAAATTATAAAAATCAAAAGACTAGCTCTCTGCGGCAGGGAAACAAATGGAGACAATTAACGCGGTAATTGAGAGCGTCTGCCAGAGATAAGTCGGCGCACTAATGCCGCCTTAAATCTAAATTGCCTCCCAGATTGTGTGCTGTGCGACGATTGAGAGGTGCACGAACACACACACATATGGAAGGGTTGAATGAAACACACACTCTCGCTTCCTGTGTTGTTGTGTACGACGAGTAGCACGTGCCACTCTCTGCCGCTGTTTGGTATTATAGATAGGCATGCGGACGTTTGAAGATGTCAGAAATGAGATAAAACCTGCAACTCGACGAATAATAAATAAAAAATTTACCGTAGTGCTTTAAAGTTTTCCGAAATTTGATATGGAATACCAATGCAGTTAATAAAAAATAAATCAGAAATTCAGCGAGAAAGACAATTGTTTGACTAAAAATTTTATTTTCAGGAAATTTCAATTCTCTCTGTGAGTGGATATGTATTATTATTTTATAAAAGTTAATTTTTCTTGGTAATTTCAAAATAGTGCCAAACCATGAGCACTATTAATTTATTAATATACAATTTTTGGTCAATTTTTTTACAAAATTCAGAAAATTTATATTGTTTGTAATAAAAACCAAGATTTTAAATAATTAGTTTGAATCGGAAACTTAAAGTCTCTTAAATTTTAAAATAAATAGTTGCAGTTTAAGAATTTTTCTCTCTCCAAAATCAACTGGCATCACCATGAATCAATTAAAAAAGGTTGAATTTTATATATACTTGCACCAGTGGTCGCACTGTTTGCTTTGTCGCACACACGGCTGCGCGGCCCATAAGCCATTTTGGTAAATGGGCTGCGCAGCCGCGTGTGCGACAAAGCAAACAGTGCGACCACTGGTGCAAGTACCATAGTGGAGTAAAAGAGGAGAAGAGCAATCGGAGCGAATAAAGAATAAATCCTCCCGTAAGTTGCGGAGCTTGCGGGAATTTAAATTTGCGCGTCTCGCAAAAAGTGCCGCAGGGTAATTTATTTCTCGGCCCTTACCTGCTTATTAAAAGTTTGCTGAGCAGCAGTAGTGGCAGTGCCGCCGCCGTCTGCTGCGCCAATAGGAATAATAAAATGGGGTGCTATCGGAGGAATGCCTCGGCGCGCGTTTTAACACCTGCTCCAATTTCCTATATCGCATCTATTTCCTCCCCAGCGCAGGTGTGCCATCTTCCTTCCTGCACACATGTATGTATATTAAACAGCGAAAGAAAAACCCTGTATCGACGTTTCGCACACTCGCCCCTGCTCATTAAGGGTCGGCAGACAGTCTTTCATCCACCCCCTGCGAGTGTGTTGAACACGCGCGCGATATATTCTGTCGGCATTCCGTCAACGCCAGACACAATGCACTCCCTCGGGAACCCTTTTTGGACCAAACGTGCCGCAAACAGGCCCCATGCATACGGCTGGATTTTTAAGCATTGAACGATTTATTCACATTTTATTATTTAAATTTTAATTAATTAATAATGTGTACATTTTTAATTTTTTATGATGATCTCCAAATGAAATATAAACATTTTAATTGTTTTGAATTATGGTCGGCATCCTAATTCAATTTTACGGTGATTTATATGTTTCAATATTCAGTAGAAAAGTGCAACCAATTCACATGTGTTTACCAAAATTAATAATGAAAAGTTTTCTTGCAAATATTTAATAAAATAAAAGCTATATAACAATATAAAACAGAAAAACAATACGCCCCATCTAAATAGTATATTTTTTATCTTGAAAAATAAAAATATAGATTATAAATTAAATACAAATAATGTTAATTTATGATATTGAAATGCATTAAAACTTATATTTATTATTATAAATACATTGTAACTTTAAAGTTTTACTTATAAAATTTGTTATTTTATTCATTCATGATCAGTTAGAGAATCATATGACATTTTTTTTTCTAATTCTTTCTTACCTGTGGTTAACAAAAACAATGGTCTAATTTGAGCATAGTAAGAATTTCCTTGCAAAAAAGCGCAGCATTGATTTAGATATATATTACGCGAAATTAATTGATTGATTGATTTTTAAAACTCCTGTCTTCGACTGCTCACCTATTTCTCTCAAAAAATGTATGTAAATTGCTAAAAAAAAAAAAAAAATAAATAAAAAATAAATCAAATATTGGCCTATCTTATCCTCTTTTCTGATTAAATTTCTTAAAATTTCACTTCAATTTGGAATAGGAAAATATAATCTTCAATAAAATTGAAGGAATTCAGCTTTTGACAAAAACTTGCAACCCCGATTCTCGCTTGTGCATATTTCTTTCTGCCAAATGTCGCCGCAAATGCTAATGAGGGTGCAGCGAGCTCTTGTAATGAGAGCAGCGGGGCAGCTGCGACCCGGGGGCCTTCTGGCCCATGCACATATGCACAGCACAGACAGACACACACGCAAGTCCGCGCACATGGCCTTTGAGCGGCAGCTTGCATTTTATTGTTGTAATAACGGCGGCGGCAAGTGTGTGTGTCTCTCTGTGTGTCGTTTTGAGCGGAGACAAATTCTGTGCCATATTATATCGCCTGCTGGCCGCGGCTGCTCGAGCTTTTCTCTGTTTGCACTACTGGATGTCGCTCGTCCGCCCGCGCATTTGCGATGCACACATAATTGCATGCAGCTGCGGCCCAGTGATGAGAAAATAGCTCCGTCCATCTTTCTGCGGCTCGAAATTGATCTAATATGGTAGAATTATGCCCTTTAACAATGCATCGATTCGGGGTCTCGTGTTGAATCAATTAGGAACACCCTTGAGTGGCAAATTGTTGTTTTCAATTATTAAGTGGGCGGAGGGGAAATGTGTTGTTTTGGCTTTTTGTTCCGAGGGGTTGTGATTCCTAATTTTAATAGCAGTTGAAAGTGCAAAGAATAGTGACTAATTTTTTACTTGAAATAAAATTTTAAAGAAAACTTCAAATCTGAAGACTTTTCAGAGAAAATTCCCTGAATTTTAAGGATAAATAACAATTATCATAAAAATTAAGGAATATTTTCAGTGCAAGATATTTAAAAATTTGAGATTTTTTCCAAACAAATTCAAAACTTTCTCTTCGCTTTTTACAGCTCTCAGAAAAAAAACTAACAAAGTGTGCAATAATAATTATAAATATTTAGGGCGTACTTATATTTGGCCCTTTTGATTATTTTCTATTCATAAAATCAATTTTCCTTCCTATTACAAAATCCTCTTTTGGTTATAAAATTCCCTTTTTTTTTTTTAAATCTGATCATCAAAAATTTTGTAACAAATTTTTTTATTACATCGGTTAATACTTTCTGCATTGAAGAGGACTTTATACAATGGATTTTTTAACTTTCACCTTTCACATCAATTGAACTTTATATTATATTTTTATTTTTTCACATTTTTTTCAATCACAAGACAGAAAATAAAAGAACTCTTGGTTTTCAATAGTTAAAAGTGTTCCCCACACTTTTTGTTCCAAGACCAGCATAATTTTTTTTCCTTTTTTTTTGCGCAGGAGGAAAGAAATTCTTGAGCAAATTGCTTGGAAGGCGGCGGCGTGGCAACACAAGAGCTCCGGCGGCGGCGTCTTAACATTCAAAAGGTGACAAACGCAGCCGCTGTTTATAAAATGAATCGGCGGCGCGGGGGCTGATTAGTTTCGATAAGAGTGGCGATGGCAGGTCGCAAAAGTGATGCCTGGCTGATACTGCGCCTTGGGCGGGGAATCATAATTGCTGCCGTCGCACACATCCCCGCACGCACTCTCCCTCGGCGTTATTTATCGGCGCTGGCACCCGTGCTTATTTATGCGAAAGCGCACAAGGAGCCCGGCGAGAAAGAAAGCCAGTTAATTGAAAGGCTGCAATTTGAATTGCATCTCGCTCTGCTCCCCCGAGATAAGCAGCAGCTGTTTTGTGCTTTGCTATGGAGGAATGCGCGCGGCCTGTTGATGAAACTTGCTGCGAGTGATTCTGACAGATTGAATTTATTAAAAACAGCCAAAGAGAAAATTTGTCTGAATTTGGCTGCTGACCAATTCAGCATTATTAATTACTCCGCTCGCTTTAAAGATAATAATTCCATCAAATTTGAAAAAGGCGCGTGCAATGATTATGCACGAAATTTCCTTACTGCGAAAAAGTGCTTTTTTACCAACGCCCGATTCGCCTTCCTTAATTTTGTAGTACTAGATTTTAGGACTAAAATATTAAGGATTGCGAAACCGTCGTTCGTAAAAATTAGCATTATCGGTTGATAATCTTTTTCTCAGCTAATAGTGCTTCTAATTACAAATGTCCGCTTTGCCATTTTTAATTTTGTAGTCCTTAATTTCAGGACTATAAAATTAAGAATTTCAAAACCAACGTTTGTAAAAA